TGCTGACCCTCTTTACACTGTCATTCTGACCCTTGTACACTGCCCTGCTGACCCTCTGTACACTACCTTACCGATCCCCTGTATACTACCCTGCTGACCCTCTGTACACTGCCCTATTGTCCTGCTGTACACTGCCCTGATGACCCTCTGTACACTGCCATACTGATCCCTTGTACACTGCCATTCTGACCCTTGTACACTGCCCTGCTGCCCCACTGTACACTGCCCTACTGATCCCCTGTATACTACAATGCTGACCCTCTGTACACTGCCCTACTGTCCTGCTGTACATTGCCCTGATGACCCTCTGTACACTGCCCTACTGTCCTGCTGTACATTGCCCTGATGACCCTCTGTACACTGCCATACTGATCCCTTGTACACTGCCCTGCTGCCCCCCTGTACACTACCTTGCTGGCCTCCTATCTTCTGCCCCCCTGACTCCCACATCAGACAGGCTTGATCCACCCCTGAACTGGATTATGAATGCTGGAATTTTTTTGTTATGGTATACAAAGGAGGCAGAGCTTTGGGTCACAGACACCAAAAACCTGGAGTTGGCCTTTCATTTTTGGACTTTCCCCAATTCAATTTAGTATATTTGATATGTGTAGATTTAACCAGTAAATCAACATCCGTAAAAACAAAAACTTTCCTCTTCAATTCCCATTATTTCTGCCGTAACGGAGATAAAACATTATAGCGCCTTCTTGTAGGTGGTATAAAAAAGTGAACATTAAGCGATGACATAATTCAATTTGAAGTATAATTATAAAAAAAAGAAGTAAAATTTACACCTCGGAGAAATTGTTTTAACGGAAAAATATTAGCAGGGAGTTTTGTCTGCTGGCTTATTATTTACAGATGGAAACGTGTCTGAATGGAAATGAATTGTGATGATTCATAGGATTATAAAAATGAGGACAAGAAAGCAAATGTAATTACGCGTAAAGCTTTGTAGAATACCGACTAGGCGGTTGTGTTAAAAACTATAATGTTGAGGAGCGCCCATAGGGCATACCTCGCCGTATCAAAACACTCTTCATCATTCGCCATCATTCTGAGCGAGCGTGCGGCTGGAATTCTCCTGGAGAGGAAAGGATGGAGTGGGGAAGGAGAGAAAAAAAAGGGGGGGGGGGGGAGGGGCTGCAATTTAATGGTATAGTTGGGGACTGTGGGGAAAAAAAAAAAAAAAAAAACACATATAATACCCATGAGCACTGTAGGTCATTTTTTTAACCCCTCACCTACCAGGCACTTATACCCCCTTCCTGTCCAGGCCAATTGTCAGCTTTCAGCGCTGTCACACTTTGAATGACAATTGCACGGTCATGCGACACCGTACACATATTACATTGTTATCATTTTTTTGAGACAGATAAAGCTTTCTTTTGGTGTTATTTAATCACCTCGGGGTTTTTTATTTTTTGCTAAACAAACCAAAAACAACTGAAATTTTTGAGAACAAAAAAGTTTTTTTTTTTTTTAGTTTCTGCTATAATATTTTGAAAATAAGTGATTTTTCTCCTTCACTGATGTGTGCTAATGAGGCTGCAGTGATGGGCACTGATAGGCGGCACCGAGGGGCACTGATGAGGAGGCACTGGTAGGTGGCACAGATGGGCATTGACAGGCATCACTGATGGGCACTAAAAGGCAGCACTCATATATGGCACTGATAGGCGGCACTGACTGTCAATGATAGGCGGTACTGATGGGCACTGATGAGGAGGCACTGTTAGGTGGCACTGATGGGCATTGACAGGCATCACTGATGGGCATTGAAAGGCAGCACTCATATATGGCACTGATAGGCGGCACTGACTGACACTGTTAGGTGGCACTGACTGGCACTGATAGGCAGCACGGATGGGCACTGATGAGGAGGCACTGGTAGGTGGCACTGATGGGCATTGACAGGCATCACTGATGGGCATTGAAAGGCAGCACTCATATATGGCACTTATAGGCGGCACTGACGGGCCCTGATAGGCGGTACTGACACTGTTAGGTGGCACTGACTGGCACTGATAGGTGGCAGTGATGGGCACTGATGAGAAAGCACTGTTAGGTGGCACTGATGGGCATTGACAGGCATCACTGATGGGCATTGAAAGGCAGCATTGATATATGGCACTGCCTGGCAGCACTGACAGGTGGCACTGATAGGCGGCACTGACTGGCACTGATAGGTGGCACTGATAGGCAGCACTGACTGGGTGGTTAGAGTGGGAGTCATATGATGTCCTCCAAGGACAAGAGAACCGCCTTGCGCCTGTCATTTCCTTTATATGGCGGGTGGGAGGCGGTTAATATCCTTGTGCCATAGCTTTATTACCTTGATCCTGCCAGCAGATCTATTATTTTTACACTTCCCTTAATCTTTTCGCTGCCAGAACCGTTTTTGCGTTTTTTTTGTACACATGCTAAAAAATCATTTGAGGTCTGAAGACTGCAAAAAAAAAAAAAACCCTCAACACATTATCTATTTTCGGAAAGCAGGCACCCTAATAAAATATTGGTAGTTCAATTTTTTTTATGTTACACAATATTAGCACAAAGGTCTACGAAATGCAAAATGTAAGTTAAAAAAAATGTTAAAGTAAATTTTAGGACACACCATACAATAAATTACCAAATTTCTAGGTAAACTATAAAAAGACGAGGTCGGACCGAGTAAATTGATATCCAACAAACCGTAGCCTCCTTGGCGGTATTCCGGAGTGTAGCTCGGGGTAAAGTTTCAGTACCACAAGCGGTAACCCCCCCGAGCTACACTCCGGAATACACTGCAGCATTGCTCCGTGATCCCTCGATCACTTACCTTGTCCTGCGCTCCCGCGATGCCCCTCCTGCAGAGTCCCCTGTAATGTCCTCCAGCGGTCCGGGGAGAGCGGATAAAGTGAATGCGGGGTCCGGGGAGAGCGGATATAGTGAATGCGGGGTCCGGGGATAGCGGATATAATGAATGCGGGGTCCGGGTAGACCGGATATAGTGAATGCGGGGTCCGGGGAGAGCGGATATAGGGAATGCGGGGTCCGGGGAGAGCGGATATAGGGAATGCGGGGTCCGGGGAGAGCGGATATAGTGAATGCGGGGTCCGGGGAGAGCAGATATAGTGAATGCAGGGTCCGGGGAGAGCAGATATAGTGAATGCAGGGTCCGGGGAAAGCAGATATAGTGAATGCGGGGTCCGGGGGGGGAGAGCGTATATAGTGAATGCGGGGTCCGGGGAGAGCAGATATAGTGAATGCAGGGTCCGGGGAGAGCGGATATAGTGAATGCGGGGTCCGGGGTGAGCAGATATAGTGAATGCAGGGTCCGGGGAGAGCGGATATAGTGAATGCGGGGTCCGGGGTGAGCAGATATAGTGAATGCGGGGTCCGGGAGAGCGGATATAGTGAATGCGGGGTCCGGGGAGAGCGGATATAGTGAATGCAGGGTCCGGGGAGAGCGGATATAGGGAATGCGGGGTGTCCGGGGAGAGAGGATATAGTGAATGCGGGGTTCGGGGAGAGCGGATATAGTGAATGCGGGGTCCGGGGAGAGCAGATATAGTGAATGCAGGGTCCGAGGAGACCAGATATAGTGAATGCGGGGTCCGGGGAGAGCAGATATAGTGAATGCGGGGTCCGGGGGAGAGCGGATATAGTGAATGCGAGGTCCGGGGTGAGCAGATATAGTGAATGCGGGGTCCGGGGTGAGCAGATATAGTGAATGCGGGGTCCGGGGAGACCAGATATAGTGAATGCGGGGTCCGGGGAGAGCAGATATAGTGAATGCGGGGTCCGGGGAGAGCGGATATAGTGAATGCGAGGTCCGGGGTGAGCAGATATAGTGAATGCGGGGTCCGGGAGAGCGGATATAGTGAATGCAGGGTCCAGGGAGAGCGGATAGAGTGAATGCAGGGTCCGGGGAGAGCGGATATAGTGAATGCAGGGTCCGGGGAGAGAGGATATAGTGAATGCAGGGTCCGGGAGAGCGGATATAGTGAATGCAGGGTCCGGGGAGAGAGGATATAGTGAATGCGGAGTCCGGGGAGAGAGGATATAGTGAATGCAGAGTCCGGGGAGACCGGATATAGGGAATGCGGGGTCCGGGGACAGCGGATAGAGAGAATGCGGGGTCCGGGGAGACCGGATTTAGTGAATGCGGGGTCCGGGGACAGCGGATAGAGTGAATGCGGGGTCCGGGGAGAGCAGATATAGGGAATGCGGGGTCCGGGGGAGAGCAGATATAGGGAATGCGGGGTCCGGGGTTTAAGAACACTTTAACTTTTTACCGTATCCAAAACTGAAAAAAAAATTGTCTTTACGTATGCTCTAATTTTGTGTAAAGTCTGGTATGGCAATTATTTCTGTCAAATCTTTTTTTTTTTTCTTTTTCTAGGAAAATAACTTGAAATAGTTGTTAATATCTGAATGTTAATGATGTTGGGTAGCGGACATCATTCATTATGTCATATCTCAATGACCTCATTGTGCATCATCATCATCATCATCCCGGTAGTATGACCCGTGTTCCTGCGCTGTGCCGGATGACACCGATGCTGTAAGCTAATCACATTGCTGACTCCGGCTTTTCCCGGGGCAGAAGTTAATAGGAGCCATCAGTAATGATAAACCGCGGCACTTTGCAGCTTTCCCAAGTGCAGCCGGTCCCTCCGGGGACCTCCGTCACCGCACAGTCACAGAGATACGTCTCCGGCTGCCAGGAAAAACTCCGACCAGTCATATCCTTCTTTTATCCTGTGATATATACTGTATACTCGTAATAGGTCCGGAGAACACAAAGTGTAACTCCAGAGCAATCTTATCTTTTCATTTACTTTTGGAATAAAAAAGGACAAGAACCTTTTGGAAGTTTTATTGCCTTCTGAGGCTTTGTTAGAGATCTCCCCGCATGAAAGAGTTCTGCCATCGGAGATACAGACCTGCACACATTCAAAAACAGAGCACTTTTGTATTGACTGGCCATTGAAATCTGACCTCCGGCCTTACTCCAGTTTTGCACAGGTGTACTGGCTCCTCCCCTTCAGTCTTGCACAGGTGTACCTGCTCATCTCTTCAGTCTTGCACAGGTGTACAGGCTCCTCCCCTTCAGTCTTGCACAGGTGTACCGGCTCCTCCCCTTCAGTCTTGCACATGTGTACCAGCTCCTCCTCTTTAGTCTTGCACAGGTGTACCGGCTCCTCCCCTTCAGTCTTGCACATGTGCACTGGCTCCTCCTCTTTAGTCTTGCACAGGTGTACTGGCTCCTCCCCTTCAGTCTTGCACAGGTGTACCGGCTCCTCCCCTTCAGTCTTGCACAGGTGTACTGGCTCAGGGGCGGACTGACCATTTGGAAACTCGGGCACTGCCCGAGAGCCCGGGGTCAGTATGGGACCCCATGAGATGCCCCTGGTACCTTTTTCATAGGCTTTTTTGAGTTTTAGCAAAGATACAGGGGCCCCATGATCCCCTATTGCCCGGGGGCCCCATTGGTTGTCAGTCCGACCCTGTACCGGCTCCTCCCTTTCAGTCTTGCACAGGTGTACCGGCTCCCCCCTTTCAGTCTTGCACAGGTGTACCGGCTCCCCCCCTTCAGTCTTGCACAGGTGTACCGGCTCCTCTCCTGTACTGAAATGTCTTCCTCCGATTTCATTGCACACTGTGAGATTCTCACCATGTGCATTAGAAGCTGCAGCAAGTCAGATATTACCCTAAGAAAATGCAACTATGGGGCAGCACTGATCAATGAGCTAAAATATCAAAAACAAAACATTTTGTTTAAAAACATTGTAAATAATTTATTTTTACATAAATCTTAACCACTTACTCTCCAGAAGATTTACTCCCCTTCCTGACCAGGCCATTTATCACTGTGTTACATTAACTAACAATTGCGCAGTCATGCAATGCTGTACATATATTACATGTATGTCTTTGTTTTCCACGAATAAAGCTTTCTTTCGGTGGTATTTGACCTCTACTTTTTTTTTTTTTTGCTAAACAAAAGAAGACTAACAATTTAAAAAAAAAAAAAAAATATATATTTTTTGACTTTTTGCTATTAAACACGTCCAGTAAAAAAATTTCAAAAATGAAATTCCTTCATATATTTGGGCTAAAATGTATTCTGCTCCATGTCTTTGCTAAAAAAAATCCCAATAATTGTATATTAATTGTTTTACGTGAAAGTTATAGCGTCTACAAATGGCGATATATATACTGGAATTTTTATTTTTATTTTTTTATACTAATAATGGCGGCGATCAGTGACTTATAGTGGGACTGCGACGGGCAATCTGAGATTGGGGTGGGGTGGGGGAGGGGACTGACTAACTGCCACTGACCTATACAGTGACTTTAATACAGTGATCAGTGCTAAAAATGGGTAAATGGTTAGCACTTCTGCCTGGCAGTACTAGGGGCCGTTGGTTTGAATCCCAGCCACGGCACCACCTGCCTGGAGTTTGCATGTTCCCCCTGTGCCTGCGTGGGTTTCTCCCATACTCCAAAGAGATGCTGGTAGACTAATTGAATCCTGTCTAAATTGTCCCCAGTATGTGTATGTATGACTGTAAGTTAGGGACCTTAGATTGGATGCCCCTTGAGGGTCAGGGACTGATGTGAATGCATAATATATATGTAAAGCGCTGCGTAAATTGACTGTGCTATATAAGTACCTGAAATAAATAAAAAACAGCACTGACACTGTACTAATAGCACTGGGCAGGAAGGGGGTTAACATCTGGGGTGATCAAAGGGCGAACTGTGTGCTGTGTGTTTTACTAGGGAGGCATGTTGTGCAGAGAGATACAAAGCAGCATGTCCTTGCTGGCAGGATAGAGACCTTGGTTGTTTACACACAGGCCTCTCACCTGTCAGCTTTACCAACGACCCGGTGATTGACATCCCCAGCTGCCAATAGCGGCACAGGCAGGACCTAGAAATGTAAATCATGTACATATATATATTTATATATATGTGGTTTTTCGCAGCCATGCCACCCTGTAGCAGTACTTCTGCTATAGGATGGATGGCTAGTGGTTAAAAACAGTTCTACAAATAAGTAAGCGGTCATAGTGACATAGTATTACATCGGTAATGTTTAACCACTTGGTACCGGTGCCTCCCGGTCATTTAAGGGTTTCAGAAGCCGGGAGGCGGGGCTTGGTTTTAGGCTGATGTGACTTTCGTGATTTGCCGTCACCGCGGTCACATGATCGGAAAAGGTCCTGATCGAAAGGGGAGATCGGGACCTTTCTGGGAGTAGTGGACATATTTGCTGGGAGCGCGCAGGGAGGGCGCTCTCAGCACATATGTATTTTTTTTATTGCAGGCAAATATGCGGCCCCTCAGCGTCAAAGCCCAGACACCGAGAGGCCGCATATTTGCGTGCGATTGGCGTCAAGGGGTTAATATTCAATCGGTAGTCAAACATCCGACGCGTTTCGAGATTAACATTTCTCTTCTTCAGGGATGCAGCCGATGACTATAAACATGTTATAAAATAGTATACATTAGCATCTTCATAGTACAATTTTGGAAAAAAGATATACTATCAGAATATTTGATTTGAAACATCATAAGCAAAAACGCACTGACCCAATATAATCGGCCATTGTGAATATGACCAACTAGGTACTTTAAAATTAAATGATGTAAAGATGGTGGAAATTGATGTTGTCAGGTCACTCTATTATCTGCCAATGCCACTGGGGTCACCCCATATAGCTGGGAACAAAGTTCACAAAGTTCACAAAGTTCACTTTTTTTAAAAAAAACTCTCTTTATTAGCTTTGGCAATAGAACAGTACAAAGCAAAGCCTCTAGGGCATACCCAGGCTGAGTTACATATAAGCAACATAAAAAAAAAACAATAAAGTGCAACAGTATAATTCAAGAATGTGGCAACCTAAACAGTAATGGTCAAAATAAATGGCTCACCAACCTTTGTTATTGCAGAAACAGTATATAATAGGCTCATACCACCAGAAAAAAAAACAGCATATTGAATACAAAAAGGAAAGAGAACAAAATATTCCAAACACAGAGTGTGTGTTAAGGATCCGGGTATGACCAGAAATGTGTGGACTGACACAGGGAAGGAGCAGGCTTCAGGAACACAGGCGTAGTCAGGGCTGGAGAGGTGGAATGGTCAGGCGGGCCATAAGGTACCGTCAGGCACCGCCCGGCGGGATCTCTAGTGACCCACAGAACAGGTTTCCCCAGTGTGCAGATTCTAAGCCCCAGTCTGCCTTTTCACCAGAGCCCCTGATGGTGGGGATGGACTTGGCGCAGGACTGAGACCAGGTCGCAACCCCTGAGTGCACCCAACTGTGGTAGAGGGGTCCGCCGAGGGTATGTACTGGGGGAAAGCCTGATGTAAAGGGGCTGGCTGGTTTGGACAGTAGTGACTGGATCCGTGCGGGATGGATGGATCGTCTGGGTAGCGTTAGGCGTAGTCAGGCAGGCCAGGTCAGCAACGTGCGGGCAGTGAGGTACCGGAGGAACAGGCAGAGAATAGTCAGGGTCACAAGCCGGGTTCAATAACTCACGGGCAGAGCAGTACAGAGGATCAGGCAGAAGGATCGTCAGGCAAGCCAGGGGTTCAACAGGAGACGGTCAGCAGAGGTCAGGATCAAAGCAGGGTCAGCAACTAGGCAGATAGGCAGGAACACAGAATACCAGGTACAGGGGCTCATGGGAAACATACACCAAGGCACTGATCACAGGCCTGGTCATTCCTTAAATACACCTCCTGCAATCAGCCCCAGATGTTGGCTGACTGCAGGAGTGAACTTCTGGCTGCTGAGAGCACCCGCTGGCCAGCCCTGGTACTGCAGCCCACACGGCAGGTGAGTCCCACCACCAGTGCTGAGTCCATTCCTGACAGTCTGTTCACACAGTGCTGTCACTTGAGGGGGTTTTTGCAGAGGAATCAAACCAGATGTTCCAAATATTAGAGAACTTATTAGGGCAGCCCCTAGACTCGTAGGTATATTTATATAATGGGATACTGGAGTTGACCAGATTTTTCCAGAAGTTAAGTGTGGGTGCTCTAGGAGCCTTCCACTTGAGCAAAATGGCTTTGTGTGCGTAGAAGAATAAAAAGTCTATCAATGTTGTCATCAATGTTCAATGTTCGAGACCCAAAATGCATACATCGACCGTCAGTAGTACAGATATGCCGGTACATTTAGGAATACACTCAGCTACATCATTCCAGAAGGACTGGACCCTTGGACATTACCAAAAGATGTGTATGAAACTTGCCAGGTCTTCTGAGCAATGCCACCATGAGGCTGGGAGGGTAGGGTAGATTGTATGCAACTTCTGCGGGGAAATATAGATTCTATGTAGTATCTTAAATTTAATAAATCTATCTCTTGCAGATACCAGTCGTTGCATAGGATGTCCTCCCAGACCTCACAATCCATGACCGGAGCCCAGCTAGCCAACAGCCTCTCTAACAAAGTCCACATTCGAGCTGTCAATGATTAATGATATCTTAATATGTGTACAGATTAACCCACAAAAAAAAAAAACACAACGTAAGAAGGGGGCCACTTACATTAACCACTTGCCCTCCTGAGGATTTCCCCCCCTTAATGACCAGGCCTCTTTTTGCTACTCGGCGCTGCACTAATTCAACTGATAATTGCGCGGTCATGCAATGCTTGCACCCAAACTAAATTTACGTCCTTTTTTTCACACAAATAGAGCTTTCTTTCGGTGTAATTTTATCACCTGTGCGCTTTTTATTTTTCATGCTATAAACAAAAAAACGCCAAAAATTTTGAAGAAAAACAATATTTTTTATTTTCAGCTATAAAAAATATATAGTAAACTCAAAGTTGGTTATAAATTTAGGCCAAAATGTATTCTGCTCCATGTTTTTGGTAAAAAAAATCCCAATAAGTGTATATTGATTTCTTAGTGCTATAACTTAAATCAAGGAATGCGCTAAAACCACAAACTATTCCTAATTTAGTGTAGAAACATTAGTGCAAAAGATATATATATATCTATTATCAATTAATATCAAAAAATATCAAAATTATGTGCAAAACATAAGTAATTTAAATAATTAAATTTGTGAATATAAAAAAAAAACAAAAATGTCCAATTCTGAATTTCTTCAAATGTCCAAACAAATCCTTTTCAAATTCAGGTGCTCTCAAAGAAATTGTGCCAAAATCCACCACCAAAAGTAAAGTTGGGTAACTCACCAGAGCTCCATGCTGATCAATCTCTAGATCAGCAAAAAACGCACCTGAGAAGTTGATTCATTGCATCTGCTCCCAGAGCAAAAAGCGTTTTTTGCTGATCTAGAGATTGATCAGCATGGAGCTCTGGTGAGTTACCCAACTTTACTTTTGGTGGTGGATTTTGGCACAATTTCTTTGAGAGCACCTGAATTTGAAAAGGATTTGTTTGGACATTTGAAGAAATTCAGAATTGGACATTTTTGTTTTTTTTATATTCACAAATTTAATTATTTAAATTACTTATGTTTTGCACATAATTTTGATATTTTTTGATATTAATTGATAATAGATATATATATCTTTTGCACTAATGTTTCTACACTAAATTAGGAATA